TTCGTATAAATTAAATTTTCAAATTCAAATACTGTTCGCAAGATTTCAACTACACTAACAGTTCGCAATAATTTATCTAAAGGCTGGTCCCGAGTTTCAGGCACCAAAATAATGTTCAAATTCAAAGTTCAAAATAATGTTCAAATTCGTATTTCATTCGTTATCGTATTTCAAAAATTCAATTCAATTTCGTTCAAACAAAAATAGATATAATAAGGTCTTACCTGTTAGAAGTTGAGGCGACGCTAGGAAAAATGCTACCGCTCAGTTGAGGGACAAACGTTTATTTACAAGACAAACAGGAATACTATATACACTTGAAAACAAGCGACTGCAGCGCCGCTGAACTAGAGTTACAACACCCTCATAGATAACAAATAATGGTAACTCTTAAACAAAAAATATAAGAAAAAGAAACTACTTAAATGATTCTTGTAAAAAGGGTATTAGACGAAACACACAAAATTTCTTTTAAAATCCGTAATTTTTAAGCAATTTTTTCATTCTTTGAACAAAACTTGGATAATAACTTCTGGAAAAAAAGTTTCATGTGATTATGGTTATAAATAAAAAAGTTATTCAATGTTTAATTAAATTTTGAGTATTTTTTAAAAAATTGCAAAAAAAAAAGTTTTTGGTATTTTATATTTTAAATCATTCATTCGAAAAGAACAAAGTATAAATATTTTAGTATAGATTTTCGATGCCTTATGATTGTAAGAAATTCGTGCAGATAAACTGAAAACTCTTTTCATAAAAACGCATCAATGTTGGCTCACTTTAGAAAAAATCGTAAGAAATGCAAAATTTTGTTATTTTGTATAAAAAATATATATACCGTATCGTGGCGAAATAAGTCATCTTTCGTTTCTGTAATTATTTTTTGTCTGTTTTTGGTAGGAAAAGAATGATCGTAATTTTAAAAAAGAAGAAAAAGTAGTTCTTCCTTCCGACAGCAACTTGGCCCTTGCGCAGAACACAGCGTAATGCAATTATGTGTGTTAACGCTTGTAAAATTTCACTCTTCATAATTTTTCCATACCGTAGGCTTTATATGAAAATCGATTCTTAAAGAGCAAACTCCGAAAAAGTTTAACCTCCTTAAAAGAAAGTAACACACATTATTTAAATGTGTAACTAAATTCAGGTGTATAACTGTCGACGACTTAAAAAAGTCTTATGTAGATTTTAATATTTTCTTATATGTTTTTAATCGCGAATCATTGTCTAAGGCAAGGATCTTCTTCCCGTAGCCCACTGAGGACATTTGGTAACTCTTCATTTGAATCTGAGGCAATTTCAGAAAAAATTGCCTTACCTGCTTTTTCTCGTAAGAAACCCAATTTTTTCAGTTATTCTTGATATTTAAAACCTTTTATTAATACTTTTAGTATCCATTTGAGATAAAAAATTTCTTAAAATGACTAACTTTTCAAAAAAATTTTAATATATAAAAAATATAAGTATGCATAAAATCTCAGATGTTTTCAGAAGAAAAGGAGGGCTTTTATCTTTAACACACAAAGTATTTTAATTCCACTTCCAATTCACGTTTTTGAAACCGATAAATATATGTACAATTTGTAACATCATCTCTTCGCTTGGAATCAGCTGCAGTCTTGTAAAACAAACCTATTTTTTTCTTATTTAAATTTCCTGATTACATTATTTTTTTACAGTCGTGTGATCAGCAGATCATTGTAAATTTATTGGTGTGGCCCGCGGATAATTGTGGATTTATTGACGCACGAGTGTTATAGGTTGAAGACCCCTAGTCTAAGGGAATACACAACGATATAATGATAAGGAAAACTATTGATTCTGAAGCATATGTATCCTTTGAGAAATTGGAATTATCAACTAAAATAACTTAATTTAACCTTTCTTAAAACTTTCTTTAGACTTAAAAACATATTTAACGCTGACAAGCAGACAAAAGAAATTTCTGTAAGCAAAGATAATTAAATCATTGAAGAAAGAATTACACCACAATTCTATGAGGAAAAAATGTCGTAGACATATTACAGAAATGGGTTCTTATAAGGAATGCGTCTATTATTAACTGTATTGTTTTGATGAGATTGACTTTCGATGTTGCCAATTAAATTGTTGGATCCAGAAATGAGGAACAAAGATCAGACATGGAGTAAACCTTATTTCAATTCTCGTAGCAACCTTGAAGGAGCTTATAGAGTAGCAACGTGTTTATCAAAGTTGTCGAGTGGTGTAACGTAAGCCCCCACAACCCCCGAATCGTGGGGGTGGACGCTATGGTTTTGCATTCTCTTGTAAGATCCCGTTTAGGGCCCAAAATCTGACTTTGCAAGGGGCACTAACTCGTATTCTCCATTACGCCACTGAAGTAGTCTCAAATATGCTCTACCGGATTCAGGTCTTGAGACCGAGTTTGGCCTTCTATATGCTTCAATCAGTGATCCTCCAATCAGTGATCATACATACACAGCTCGATGAGGTCATGCATTATCCTCAATCAGAGTGAAATTTATTACCAATAACATTAGCATATAGGGGGGCATATCCGTCAAAAATCTTGTCCCAGTATCTTACACCCGTCAGAGTTCCTTCATAGAACTCATGCAGATCAATGTGGCTACCAAGAAAGATCTCCACCAATTCGATAATTTCGGCGTGCTTGTAAGTGTGTCTTTTAACATTGTTGTGGATTGTGTAATATATCTTTCTTTATTATTTTTCAATAATTACAGATATAGTCCGTCGTACCAAAAAGGACATAATTCTATCTTTTCTAAATACGACAAAACCAAGAAACTATCTCTTTCTTAATACCAATTTCGATCCAGCGGCCAACGCTAAAACAAAGAAACTCCTTTTTATGTCATCGTTCCGTGCAAAGGCTAACGCTCTTCCTCCTTACAAATAACAACCTATCCCCGTAGATGCGGAGAATGGCGTTAAATACTCAAAAATCTACCACCAACAGTATCCAGACATTACAGTTCGGCTGTACCTATAGCAGTTCCCTCCAGATCAGCAGGGTGGCCGTGGTAGCCTAGAGGTTAAGGTCACAGATTCTTGTCTGACATTTCATGAGTTCAAGTCGACACACGTTAAATCTGTCGAGGCTCAAACGTTTTCCCATTTGTGTAGTGTGCAGGTTAAGAAGGGGGAGGTCGCCAATTCAGGTATCATCCTCCTCACTGAACCATGGTTACAAATTACGAGATCCACATTTAATAGCCCTCGTGCTTTTGTGCGATGGCTTAGAAGATATACACACAACTGGTTGTCTTACATTATGAAGACATTTTGACTCCGTAGAAGTGGATATTCTTTTTTCTGATGAAATAAAAATCTGTAAAGAAGTTGAGGAACGCACAACATTGCTTCTCCTCCTTCGCACCGAAAGAGCAACTCGTGGTCGACCTTGAATCTTTCTGGTAGGTACAAAATCTGCAGATTTGAACTAATTTCGATGGCCCTAACTGGGAGCGACATTGATACGCCTAGTACCCTCAACTTGTGACAAGCTCATTTCCATCCATGCAAATGGCCGTCCCGTTAACGAACTATGTAAAGACTTCTAGATACAGTTAGATTCTACTGGATATTGTAAACGAATTACCTAAATGATTGTCAATGGCTTTTGAAGACCAGCAATCATGATGTGTAAAATGTACACACGATGTTGCGAGAGTTTGAACTGAGCTCATTTTCTGCAACTAATATTTAAATGTGTGTGTCTACTTTTTAAAAATAAAAGCAATGGCTGATATTTTTCAATTCCAACTAAAGAGTGTTTTTTTCAAGGTATAGAAGTTTAAGTTGGCATTACTTTCCAAGATGGCGACCGATTTAACAGCTGTCAAGTGATTTATTCTCAGTTTGGTTTGGCAATTCATCAAAACGATCATCAAGCAAGGCGTAGATTCGTCGAATGGGCCCAAAACGAGATTGCCGTTGTTCCCGATTTTCATAAGCGAATTTTGTTTAGCGATGAAGCGCACTTCTGGTTGAATGGCTACGTCAACAAACAAAACTGCCGCATTTGGAGTGAGGTTAATCTACAAGTGTATGTCGAAACACCGTTACATCCAGAAAAACTGACTGTTTGGTGCGCTTTATGGGCTGGTGGAATCCTTCTTCAAAAACGATGAAAGCCACAACGTTACAGTCAATGGTGATCGGTATAGAGCTATGATTACTAACTTTTTCATTCCTGAATTGAACAATCATGATGTCCAGGAGCTGTGGTTCCAACAAGACGGCGCAACATGTCACACAGCTCGTGCCACAATCGATTTATTGAAAGACACGTTGGGTGACCGCCTAATTTCACGTTTTGTACCTGTGAATTGGCCTCCAAGATCTTGTGATTTAACACCGCTAGACTATTTTCTGTGGGGCTATGTAAAAAGTCATTGGTCTATGCGGATAAGCCAAAAACCCTTGACCATTTGGAAGACAACATTCGCCGTTATTGCCGATATACGGCCACAAATGTTGGAAAAAGTCATCGAAAATTGGACGTCCAGATTGACTACATCCGGAGCCAGCCGTGGCAGTCCTATGCCAGAAATCATATTTAAATGTAGTGCCACAAGATTATCTTTCGAATAAAAAAAAAATTCATGTCAATCGAATAATACATCGTTGTTTTATTGCAATTTAAAGTTCTATACCTCTAAAAAAAACACCCTTTATTAGTTCACACTCTCCCTATAAATATTTGTACATATCTTGTTGAAATTTTCAACTGTTAATAAAATACATTTTATTCATTCACTCGAGTTCAAATACATTTTTTAAACTTGTAGTGGATGCCAATTGATGTTAATACAGTTTTTTTTTAAATATTAATTCATCATTTGAATTTAATTAATGAATAAATAGAAAGAAACGAAAATAATAGTCAAACACGTTATATAATAAATTATAGTTTTAAAAAGAAACTAAAAAAATCAAAACACGCTTTTATAGTGAATTGAACTAAAAGTAAAAAATAATAATTCTTAATATAAGAATAAAATGATAAATATGCGCGTTGGACTACTAATTCAAAGGTCGTGGGTTCGAATCCCACCTGGGATGGCCTAATTTCTGAGAACGGGGGATTTCTTTTACTATACAATTTTAATGGAATAATTAAATTAAAGTACAGTAGAACGCCGTTTACCGAATCTGTGGGACCGGACACCGTTCGATAACCGAAAGCCGAATGCGATCCGTGCAGTATATGAAACCGGACACTATAGGAATATTGAAAATCATAACATGCGGAAACGGGCTTGGACAAAAAGCAAATGGTGCATTTTACCTGTATTGTGAAAAATAATCACTTATTTTCGCTGTATAATTGTACACCTTCGTTTTCGCTGCAAGGTCTCTGATTCTCTTTGAGCAGCAGTAGTTGAGTACGACAGCACACTAATTGTTGCTCG